CTAAAAGCTATAATAAATAAATAAAATCACCATTTTACCGATTTATTCACTACTTTTGATCAACAAGTTGTTCCGTTATTAACGTACGATGAAGGAGGTATACATCTATTGAGGAGGTATTGAAAATTCTGACTCCATTGCCCATAATACTTATAGAACAAATACTCATAGTAGAAATATTAGTAGATTTTTTTTATCAAATAATACATTGGGGAATGTTTTTAGTTTATTAGTACCATTTTGACACATACCAATACCTTTTTTGTATTTCCTAGTATCTTTGAAACACTTTCAAAAATCGTCAAAATCAACTTTTTTAATTCTTTCACTCTATTTAAGTATCCTAGAGATACTTTTAATTGATTAGAATCACATCAAACAGCTTTTTCCGTATTATAAATTTTTTTAAATTTCTGCAAATCATCCTGTGTAATGTTATTAACTTCTTTTGGTATTGTCAAACAACCTTAAAGTATTTCTAATCGATTAGTACCATTTTGACACCTACCAACAAGGTTTTAATTCACACCAATCGGCTTTACCAACGTTTTATATTGTAATTTCTTTAGTTTTTATCATATAATCTTCTACATCATAGATGATAATGAATATGTTGATTGCATGAGAATTCCACATAATATAAAAATAACTTAACTTATCATATTCCATATATGAGTAGAAAAGATGAATATGGAAGACTGAATAGGAAAGAGCTTTAATGGTCTAAATATGATCGCGAAATTTCTTGGGGAAGTAATTGGTTGTAAATGTCATTCAAAGTCGTTTAATTAACTGGAGTGGCTTAACAATAAAGTTGTTGGACAATCAAACTTATTTATGGTACATTAAATCCTTATTAAATTTGCTTTAAAATCTACGTTATTTTATTATATCTTAATTTATTGTTGAGATACGTTTTCTATAACATTTTAAGGATATTTTAAATTGATCGTAAAAGTAATATTTTCAATGATAAAATGATACTATGAATGTTATATATAATTTATTATTACTTACTATATATCAATTCGCAAAAATTACAACACAAAATTTCCTAAAACGTGTTTACTTGTGATGTACTTGGCAAAAAGCCCATGTTTAATGGAAAATCGATGATTACAACCTAGAAGATAACAAACTAACAATGAATGAAGATGTTTTAGAAGCCGTGAATTCTCCAGGGAAAAACTTTTGGCCTAATATTTAGGGCGATACTCGCAAAACAATCTAATATACAATAAAATGTTGCAAAGGTATTTTAGGTCCTATAAGATAAAAAAAACATCATAAAAAGATCGCAAAAGCGCTTCATGATTGAGTATGACAGGAGGCGTAATCAGCTAATAATGAGTGAAGAAATTCGAAACTATTTTTGATTTTAACCAGAATAAGAATCGCAGTTATTTAATATCTGATTCTTGAAAAACAGGAATATATTTATTTACACTGTACCAATTAAAGATTAATTAAGTAAGTAAATTAAACTAAAACTGGCTACTTATTTGATTTTGATTTAATCTTGAGGTTATTTACACTTTATAGTACACTTTTTTTACACTTTCAAAGATCCTAGTTGGTCCACCTTCATTAAATAAAAAAAAATTGTAAATCAAATTCCTGCTTTTTAGGTTTTTAAATCTTAGTTCTTACTGGTTTTGAATTAGGACATAGGTTTTTTCATTTAACTCTTGTACAGGCATAAATTAATCGAGATGAATAGAGATATGAATCATTTATGATTCAACATAGTATATGTTAATATAGATTTAATTAATTAACAATAAAAAAATTACATCTTGTCTATACCGAATAAAATATATCAACTGTACTTTTCTCTATAACCTATGAAACATCTGTTTTCTGATAGTCACCGTTTTAGGCATAATCGTTCTCTAACCACTCGCGAGTTATGGACTCACCACAACACGAATCTACGCGAGAGCGTCGAAAAGCACCTAATTACGCACATTCGTGGAAAAATTATCGTTACGAAGGACAGATATAGCCTGTAACAGCTGAACCTTGTTATACACATACACATGTATCCATGTACATACGTATGGATAAACGAATTAGCGTGATTTAAAGGGCTATGGCCACTGCAACAAATTTTTATATAAAAGCCGAGGTACATTCCGAGGGATCATTTTCAGTGCAACAGTTGAAACAATTGGAATGAGTCCACAAAAGGTTAATATTTGGTTAAAAATATTAAATATAATAAAGGTTTCAATAACTACTGAAAGCACAATCTAAAACATTTTATTTCTTAATTTTGTCAAAGATAGAGTTTCATGCAAAAAAATGTATGGTGAAACAAGGCAAAAGAACAAGTAACTATAAAAAATTTGTTATACATCCAGCTGTGAGGTCTTGATTCAGCGCTTCTATTTATTTTGAAAATAGTGATGAGCAATTATGTTGTAGACGCTGCGTAATTTAGTAATTATGCCTGGAAAGGTGCACAAATGTTTATAAAAAAATGTGGGTGATACAATATGCGTTCAATTATGTACGAGGTTGTAACTTCATTACTTAACTGTTTAAAAATTGTAAAAAAATACTACTTATTCTAATTCAAAAAATGTCAAAAAAGTTTAGCTACTCGAAGTAAAAAAAGCTATTTTATACTCAGAATTAAAAATTGTATAGACTCTTTTCTGGAGTATCATAACGTCCGCCATCGTGCAAAGCATCAGAACAATCGATTGTTAAAGTACAAGGCAAAAGACTCAAAATCTGCCACTATAGTCAACATCCACCAGAATTTTTTAGGCCAATTAAAATAAAATGGTTGATAGTTTAATCATTAATACTTTATAAAAATTATTTGCTTATTATGGATTAATTAAAATAATAATACCAGACAATGAACTACCAAAAGGAAAATTAAAACATTTAAAGAATCCAAGTCAACTTTTTAAAGAAACGATCTTCGATATGGAGGAAATAGAGAATAGGAAGCATACTGACGAAATAAGATGTAGAGATGATACACTGGAAGCATTATCAAAAATTATGCCAAAATCTTTGAAGCTTAAATAGGAGCTTTATCCAAAACTCGTTAGCTACCGCTTAAATATTGGCAATAAAAACTTAACGATAAAAACGAATGTCTTAATCAACACATCCCAACACATGATCCAGGGCTTGATCATAATACAACAACAGAAATAGGTGGACTTGATGAATTTTATGCTAGAAAATACAAAATAATGTTGGTTTATTTTTCGGTTTGTTGATATATGTGTGGTCAATAGTTAGTTCTAAGTAGCGCATTAGAAAAGATAATAGTTCGTTTGAAAACTTTAAATTGGCAGCTTTAATCGGAAAATCCATTACAGGTTTTTAGCTTGGGAGCTTAAAATACTGACATAAAGGAAAAAAGGGCCTTAAATTACTAACAAAAATCCTTAACTGGATATCTGCTGTTGTGATATAGAACGTTTTTTTTAAATTATGTGAAAATCAGAGGAGAACTTAAATATCCAACTTCTAATTTTAAAGATTCCACATTTAAAACGTTTAAATCATACAATAAAGAATTTAAATTAGTTTTGTTAAGAATTTTTAACTGATTCTAAAGAGGAGTAATTCGAAAGAATTTTCTACATGTATATAAGAATAGTAACAAATATAATCTATAACTAATATCTCCATAAGATCAAATATTATTGAAATTTAGGATTAAAGTATGAAATTTATGTAAATATATCAAAAAAAAATTAATTAAGCTTTAATGATTAATTTCTTTTTTATTTAATTGAAATTTTCACACTTCTAAGAGTTAATAAAAACTATTTAATCCTACAAATAATTTATTTTATAAACTTGGATTACTTATTCTTGCAATTTGTGGTAAATTTCCAATAGAAATTAATTTAAATTTTTAAAAGTCATTATTTTGTTATTAAAGATTTAATGAATATCTCGCAAAAATCATTCGGTCACCAACAAAAACTAAATTAATTTTTTTTGAGTTATGACGCAAATTTAAATCACACAATCTCCGCTGCGACCGAACGACTTTAAAAATTTCTAAATCGTTTATTTTTAGAAACAATTAAATTCTAATCACAAACATACAAACTTTTTTTATAAAGTTGTTTTCTTAATTTTTTTTATTTTTTTATTAAGAACACTACAAACTGCTTCTCGATTGGCAAAAAAAAAGAGAACATCTTGAGTATCCTGGTTTCGGATGTCGCTCAAGTACCGAAACGTTGAGCTTTCAAGCAGTACGCGATGCCGGCGCTTTTGATGCACTGGCCAAAGAGGAGAATTTCAATTTCCCGAATACCGATGGCAGGCGGCGGCTAAATTGCGGTAATAAGAACAAATTACGTCCAATTTATATCGCAATGATATTTTTAATTTACTGTCAGCAAAAACCGAACTCTTATTGTAACTGGATTGCGAGTTGACTACCGACGGCTACTTCACTTTCATTTCTTATTATGTTTAAAAAAAGATTTTTTTTTATAAAATTTATTTAAATAAAATGATTTTGATGAGGGCAATTTTTTTTTATGTATAATTATTAAGATTTACTGTTAATTAAAAATCGACCTAAATGCCAATTAAAATTCGCATAAGAATTGGTTGATGGAGAACTTATGACATGGATCGATTGTGTCAATTTAAAATTAATTGATTTGTTTTCCCTAGTTTTGAAAATTATTGATCGTTATTGTAAGGTCTTTAACGATTTATTGATATTTAAGAAAATTATTATCTTTTTTTTTAATTAAAGGTAAATTACTAGCACTTAACATAAAAATTAGATTTTTGCCTTAAATTTATTTAATTTTATACAAATCAAGGTTTGTGATCATTAAGATAATGATTTATAAATAAATACAAATTGGGTTGTATTAATAAAAAAATTTCGTTCAAGGTGACCTCCAGTTATTAAGAAAAATAATCATCACTTTTTAATTTTTTTGGCAAATTTAAATTTTTTTAATTCAATTTTTGGGAAACTTTATGAATTTACTCACCAATATTTTGTGGTGTTGGTGTGACACCATCATCCTCCTCAAGATGCCTGATGGGCCTGCTCTGCTTCCTGCGAGACATGTCACTTTACAAAATACAAATACCGTCGTCGATGGAACGAAGCGCGTGCTTTCACAGTCCACAATCACTGTCCGCACGCGGTGGTAACGACGCGGTCGACGCACAAGAAGCATGCATCCGTCTTCGGTACACCTTGCATAAAACTTTGTTGATGATGATGATGAAGAATAACCGCGACGGTTTTAATCGCGCGAGTCAGCAGTTATGATGTGCTGGTGTTTTGCTCATGACCGCTTTTTTGATTGGTCACAGGTGACATGCGAACTCTTCGGCGTCGTGATGCCGTCTGCTTGCTATCGGCGTCGAATGGTGGGGAAGCGACGCCGTTTACGGGGCGTTCCTGCGCCGACGCAACCCTTTTATAGGGTGTCCTATCCGACGACTATCCCTTCGACTACACAACCAGGGGTTTTTCTTTAACATTTAGTTCATTCACGATGACGATCACAAGTCCTCGTGGTAAAAAAAAGTAAATAAATAAATCACGTTCACCACAAAACTTCAAAATTACATCAAAAACGTCCTGATTAAAAAATAATCCATGGTTGACTTTAAAGTATGTTTTAAGTGTTTTGAAGAAAAATTATAATTTCACTTTTTATCACTAAATTATAACTAATTTTTTGGGTTAATATATTCAAATTTTTTTTTGTTGTTGTTTGACCGTGGAGCTTTTAGCGTGGGCGATTGTTGTGACAGCACTGTGCAGACTGTTGAGCGTCTGGTCGTTCTCCTGCTCTCCGAGTAGCGTTTGAGTAAGTGACGGTGGTCCGCCCAGCCCCGCCTACTTGATCACCTGGACCTGGTGGAAGGGACTCATTCAACGACGCTCCACCGTCCGTTCCGACGATCTCTTCGACGCCGATTCATAAATCACACACTCTCGGTGAATATTAATCAAAAAATAAAATAAAGAAGGGATGATGTACCTTCGAGAACGGATGATAATTCTTCACAATTTATCGCATCCATACTAAGTGTTCGAATGGGATACTATAATTCTTCGATTGATTTCAATTAAACCATAAAAATTTAGCACAATCTTCTCCAGTATTGCAAATAAGTATAAAGCAGAAATTAATTATTAAGAAAGAAATTCGATTTTCACATCGCCTTAAAGTTTGTTTTGTGCGCTCAATGTTCCAAAGTGAAAGTAGAAAAACAAATTTTTCATTAAATCTGAACTTTAAATTAATCTATTAAACAAAATCAATAATAACATGCATAATTTTCAAATATCTACATAAGGAGTTAAATCGTTACACTTGAACTAACGCAGCACTGAAAGTAAAAGAAGTAAAAGTACATCAAAATAAGTAGGAACAACTAAATTTTGTCCTTGATTATAGAATAAGGTGAACTCAAAAATGTAAGTCTAATTTCAAAAAGTGTATTTATGATATACTTTTATAGTTTTTATTGATACTTTTTGCTACGGCTAATTCTAATTAAAACTTTTGATTTCAAAAATTTTCAAAAGAATTTCATATGATGCCAATTTAGCCTAAATCATTTTTGGGCTAAGGCATAAATAATAATTGAGAATTTTCAAGCATTTGTCTAACTCCTGCAGAAAGTTGGTTGTAGTTACGTTGCAGATAAACAATTCAAGAGCAACATGATTTTGATTAAGAATTCATATATAAAAAATGTGGAGAAGTCCTTCGAAAAATAGTTGTCAAAATAAGATTTATTTGTGTTCATGTTAATGTTTATTTTTACAAAAAAATAATTGTGAATATTTGTTATAGAGAAAGATCATTAGTGATTTTTTGTCTCAATAGTATCTCTAATTTTATGGACTTTAACAAATAGAAATGAAAATTAAAAATGAAAAGTGATACTTGACTAAATGTAAGGTATCATTCAACTCATGTTATTTACAAACTTTTAATTACAAACTTATACAGAAATGAAGTCTCGCCATAAATGACACAAACAAAATTGTTACTCGATCATTTTATCATAAATAGTATATTACAGTATAAGTGAGGAAACTATGATTTTTCATTAACGCGTATGTCGGATTTGGAAAGACATACAAGTGAACAAAACGCTATATAGCACGTTTTGTTCAATTCCACTATTTAGAGAAAACCCATCTTAAAATTCGATAATTCCTGAGTAATTTCATATCGACATGTCGGCAACGACAGCAGTTTTTGACATTGTCATTGATTATTATCATACCCTTAATTGATATAATATGTAAACAACCATTTGTGTCAAATTGTTAATTGTCATCATTATGAATTATTATTATGATTATGAATGCAAATAACAACCTTCAACACTCGTATCCAAGCTAGAAACTGACAATTTCGAAGATAGGATTGAACAAATAATATTTTCATTGTAAATTTCTATATGATTACAAAGTTCAAGGTTCATGTAACATTTTTTGTTCTACAAAGCATTCTAGTTATTGGATTAGTAAGGGTTTGCGTAAAATTATTTTAATAATCAACACATTAACCCATACTATCATGCCTGATTAAGCCGCATAACATTTGTAAAACATCCATACAACAAATATACGGTTTTCTCACCTGGATAAATAAATATTTGTGTTAAGAATTCTGCATTCTGTACTACATGGAAATAAATTTCATAATTTTGCATAAATGTACTTTGCATTAATAACATTAGCATTAAATGAAACCGCTTTACATCAAAGACTGTGAAGGTAAAAATTAATGATATAAATCAAAATAATACAGATCAAGACTAAAATACTTTCTGGAGTTTCAAAAAATTGTAGTTCTAGGTCTTGTATTAGTTCTAGTGATAGTGCTACTGTAAAACTAGAACTAACACTAGATCTAGAATTAGAAGATATAAATCAAAATAATACAGATCAAGACTAAAAATACATTCTGGAGTTTCAAAAAATTCTAGTTCTAGGTCTTGTGTTAGTTCTAGTGATAGTGCTAGAATACTAGAATTAACACAAGACCGAGAACTAGAAACATTCGGATTTAGCCGCACGTCTCTCAAGACGGCTAAACCCGAATGATTCTAGTTCTAGGTCTTGTGCTAGTTCTAGTGATAGTGCTAGTGTAAAACTAGAACTAACACTAGACTTAGAACTAGAAACATTCGCGTTTCGATACTTTCTCGTTCTAGATGTAGTGTTAGTTCTAGTTTTAGTTCAATAAAAATATGCAACATAGTGATATTTTATGCTAATTAGCGCTACCTACCACCTACCAGCCGTCTTAAGAGAGGTACGACTAAACGGAATGTTTCTAGTTCTAGGTCTAGTGATAGTGTTAGTCTAGTTTTATTTGTTATTCAGCGCTAGATTATTGTATATTTTTATTGAGCTATAACGGACACTGCGTTCCCCGTATTGATACGTTATATCATGGTTTTACTGTAATTTCAAATTATATTGACATATTGCATTTTATGTGGGACAAAGTAAATAGGTACACCCTGATTTCTATGGAAATATATTTTTGTATATTGCATCTTAAGTTAAATTCACTGTAGCAGCGAGTAATACGCCTCATTTATCAGAAAAACCTTAACCTCCTTTTTCAAATTTTCGTATTTAATTACTGCATTAATCGAGTTAGGCAGTTTGTTGTATAATTTAACAAAACAATAGAATAGCGACTTCTCGAACAATGCTGAGGAATGATGAATTCAAAACAAATAATTTATTATGTTTTATACTCATGGCCAAGAAGCGGACAGCGATGGAGGTGATTATGTACAAAACATATGGCTTTAAAAATGCAAATCCTAAGAAAAGTTAACATATTTCCCGCACGAAAATACGGACGACCTTGTCGATTCTTTTTAGCTCTATCCCAAATGAGAGTGTTATATTCCAAACCTGAGTATACAAGGGCATAATATACACTCAAGATACCACCGATATCCAATGAGCTTTTTAACTTTAGATGTGCAAAATATGCAGAATTAAATTTTTTCGAAACGGAGTCAATATGATCGTTCAAGGCTAGATTATTATCAATTGTTATACCTAAAAATTTGGCAGTGATTTCTAACTTAATGTTCTCTAAATTTAAAGGAAAAGCTCTACGATGCTGAAATCGAACACAAATTGTTTTGTTTAAATTTAAGATTAATCGATTGCTGTCACGCCACTTTACAAAAGCATTAACCGTATCCGTAGATAACATTACAAATAGAAACAGACAAATAGATTAAGAAGAATAAAATTAAATAGTGTGATGGTAAATGATACATAATGATATATGATGGTTTCTAGGAATTTTTAACGTATTTAGGATATACTTTAACTATGCAGACATATTTTAGTACAACATTTCCTCAAACACTTTATCACTTCTCACTCTTACTCAGAAACTTAGAAACTCTTACTTAGAAACTAAAATCAGCATGGTTAAGAGTATACTGGAATAGTAAGTTGACTCTAGGTAGGTCAACATTTGGCATACGTTGTAATTATCTAATATTATTAATACGCTTGTACACCAAAAAACTATTCATTATGATACTATTCCCAATTAAAAAAATAGAAGAGAAGAAAAAGGACAATATTTTTGAGACTGATGCTTGCCCGCTTGATGAAGACGAGAAACCATTGTCATTCAGAAACGATTATTTGGAAATCTTCCAAGAATTTCTCAATAAGCTTGCTAGTAATACCACGCTTCAAGCATGGCCAGCACAAGCGGGAAAGAATTAATTATTAAAAAATACACACGGAGCAAAATTAAAATAAAAGAATGCTAAATATTTTTATAAAGCTAAAGGGTCGTTTTTTTGATGCAACCAATCTAGTATAAAATGGCAAAATCTTTCAAAATCGAGCAAAAATAGCTCATGTTACCATCGGGAGCTATTATTATTAGTACTGACCTGAATGGTACTGATCGTGCCCAATCTGTTTTGTAAGGATGTCTGAATATGAGCAAGTCATAAATATATGGAGTCACCATCATAACACTGGATAATGTTCACGAAGGTGACATCAACACTGGGTCAATGCGCAACAGTGTCCGAACGAACCTCATAAATCAATACAAACCTCAATCCCACCCATGTAATTCAAGAAGTGGGCCCACATAATACCTTGCTAATCCTGGATAAATTCGATAGCGACTTAATTTCCAGGATGTCTAGTTCCAGCTGTATCCAGCCCCCTCCTATCATTCTCGAGTAAAACCAGGTTACCCGATGTAAGGCAGCCCTCACTACCAACGGAATGCTATTGATTTCAGAATAAACAAAAAAATCATTACAATCTTGGAATTGTCAAAGAACGATTGCTCAAGCAATCTAAGTCAATGCGAACATTATTTATATTACTTGATAATTCTAGAATTTTATTGCAAAAACTCGGCCATTGAGACCCTTTTTGTGTTGCATGCAGATGGATGCGGAAAGTAACTGAGGTAGTACTTTAAGAAGAATTGGAAATGTATCAACCGAATGGACTGAAGAGTTTGATGATCGCACAGCGTTTCTTAATTTCCAAAAGTCTTGAGTCAATGGGAAAACCGGCATTCCTAATATCTTATTCGCATCTGAGTTGGTATTCAAGAGAGGGAAGGTCATTGCAATTTTGTGTTTCTGGACATAACTGGACTTTAAAAGAATGTAATATATTGTTGGGATTTTGAGTTAATCTGACTGACGTAGAGCATGAGGGCTAAGCGTAGGTATTCAACTTTTTTTGCATAATTTGTTCAATGTTTCGCATAGTTCGAAAATCAATAGTGCTTCAAGT